GTGGGGGGGGAGGTGGCGCTGTCTAGCCCAGGATCCACCACAGATGGGCAGGTTTCTGCCAGGAAAAAACCAAAGCTGGTGCAGGAGGTTTGAGGGCAGAAAGGGCCCTGAGCCTGGTGTGCGTACAGGCAGTCCCAACTGGGTGGAATTCTCCATCCACCAGGAGCCCGACAGAGTCAGAGCTTTTATTCTGAACCAAAATTGGGAAGAAGTACAAAAATAACATGTGTGGAGATCACAAAGGAAATACCTTCTCCATCCCCAAAGGCACAATAGGGACACAAAATCAGACAACATGAGTCATCCCTGTGCCAGCCGGGAGGGTGCTCAGGCCTCTCTGGATGGCCCAGCTCGAAGGGGTAGGTGCCACTCTGAAGCTCAGCTACAGGCCCAGTAAACTCCCTGGGGGCCCAATTATCAGAGGGAGCCCTTCCTGCCATTTCTGCCTCAGGGTGCACACCTTCCCAGGAGCAGGAAAGCAAGAGCTAAGCTGTAATTATCAATTCCTTGATTCAGTTTGCACCCCTTCGACACTGGAAACTTGAAGCCCCTTTCCTGGCTAGAGAGTCACCAGGCTGTGGCTGACCTTGAGAACAAAGGCATTTGTTATCTGCAATCGACCTTTTTTACAGTTCACTGGCTTGGGGATTCACCTCTTATGCTTTAATTTGCAATTATGAACCATATGCAATTCCAGAAATTGGCAATTTTTGACAAAACTGGCAGGAGGTAGGAATATTTTTCAGGATTTCCAAGAGAAAATCACATTCAGAAGATATCTCTCTCAGAATGAAATCTAAAGTGTTTCCCTCAGCCTACAAGATCCTGGGTGAGCTGGCCCTGCCCCCCTCTCCCCTCCAGCCACCCTCCTTCACGCTCACTCCTCTCCAGGCATACTGTGTCTCTTGCGGTTGTGAAATAGGCCAACCATGTTCCCACTCACTCTCACCTCAGGGCCTTTGCACCTGCTGGCCTCCTGGCAGAAATGCTCTTCCCCAGCTACCTGCCTGCTTCATTCAGGACTCACTCAAATGTCCTTTGGTCAGATAAACCTTCACCAGACACCAGGAGCACACACTCACTTTCCTAAGTCAGCCACTGAAGCTTATCCTTTTGTTCCTATTGTATTAATATCTTCAAATTGAAATGTTAGGAAATTTGACGAATTCATATAAAGCCTTTGTGATGGTGTGTGCGTTTTTATTTAAAGGGGTAAGAGTAAATGCTGTAAATCTATTTTATTTTTGTTTTGGTTTTCGTTCCTCTTCCAAATGTCTTTCCTTTGCTTCGCCTTCCAATTGAAAGCCATGAAGTCGACCCCTCCGAGTAGCTTCTATGAGGCTCTATTAAATGAGCGCCCTGACATACTGGATGGCATGGACCTCAATGACAGTGTAAGTTGGATAAAAACGTGAGACCACCTTGCTTCCATGTTGGGACAGGAAGCCCCAGGTCAGCTGGCACTGCCTCATGAGCCCTGATATTCTTTGCTTTACTCTGTTGTTAGCACAGCCCAAATGAGCTTTCCTTATAACAGACCTACATGTCAATGACACACATTCAAGCAAAGAGGATTGTAGAATGCCTAAGGTGTTGCTCCAGGGCCTGAGTTTCAGAGGGCCCTGCTGGTAACCTTAACAAATATCCTCAAGATTGCTTTGAGTCCTGGCCAGGTGGCTCAGTTTATTGGAGCATCGTCCCATACACCAAAAGGTTGTGGGTTTCATTCCCAGTCAGGGCACATATCTGGGTAACAGAGGCAACCGATTGATGTTTCTCTCTCATCTCTCTAACTACTTACCTACCTATCTACCTATCTCCCCCGCCCACTTCTTCACTCTCTGAAATCAGTAAAAATATATATTTGGGTGAGGACTTAAAAAAAGATTGCTTTTGAAATCAGGAAAGTTCAAACAAAACATAAATCATCTAGATCTCAAGGCAAATCATTCTGTGTAGAAACTCTTTGTAAAAATGAAGTTAGATTCTGGGAAGAATACGTAGATGTACTTTTCCCACTAAGTACAGCATAAAACCCTAGACATTACATGTAAAACAAGCATAAGAAACTTCTGAAAGGCAGAGAGAAGGCCAACTGGCTAGGGATCAGGGGACTTCATGAATGACAAGGCAGCGAGTTTCCTGAGTTTTCTTTTTACTTCACGTGTCCCAGGCTGGGTGCCAGCAAAGACAGCAACCAACAACCAAACAAGCACGGACAGCAAAGCGCCTAACGAAAGCCTGGTGTTTCTAACCCAAGAGTAGGAATGGGGCAGCCTAGCAAGCTAAACCTTAAACGGCCCCCTCTGTAAGCAAACACCACAACCAGCAGTAGTGAACCACCTAAGGGGTCTGCAGTGCTGCTAACACAGCCTTCGGCGGGGCACAGAACCAGCCCTGGAGGGTCAGCAGGCGTCCTTTCCCCAAGGGTACCCAGTAACCAAGATGAGATGGACGTCATGACAGAGCCTTACCTCCGTAGTATGTGGTTGTCTTTATTGCATCAATTTCTTCCCTGCTGGCACAGCTAGTGACTCTAATTCCCTGTGTCAAACCTCCAAGACTGACCACACATGTGGACTCAGGCGAAAGCGTTTTGATGCATCCTCTCCGCTATGGCTAAGAAACCTCTCAGGACTGTAGGTACTAATTACAATCACAAGACTGAAATCATGTATCCCTGGAAATCAGGAAATCAATATTAAGCAGATGTATTTTTCTAAACTTACAAAAGAAAAGGCAAAAAAAAGAAAAGCAACTAAGTTGTTTGTTTTAATTGGGAAATTTTCTGGTCTCAATTCATATTTAGCCTTAAATTTCATACTTGCTTCCATACATATTACAGGGTAGGGCAAAAGTAGGTTTATAGTTGTTCATATGAAAAATAATACAATAATTAATAGTCATACAGGAATAAAGTCTGAGTTATACTCACAACTGTAAATCTACTTTTACCCACCCTGTGTATTAATAAGAATTGCTTTTCAAGTACTGAAATACCACACCCAAGGGAGAAAAAAGATTGCACAAGAGCTTAGATTCACTGCATGGCATTTACTAAGATAGGAAAGTAACTCTGGCATTTTAGAAACATTTTTCAGCAAGAGTGAAAATCTAGAGGAATTGTTTGATTTAGAAACTGGAATCATTCAGAAACCATCAGCATGCCTGCCCATTGAGGATTTGCTGTATGGGCGGAGCTGGGGTCACAGGCAGAGGGAACGTCTCCCGTGTCACTGTGTGAGCTCCTGATGAGCATGGCACTTTGGGAGGGTTCCGTGTGACAGGTGAGCTGTGCAGGCTAGCTCCAATCACAAGCACCTCGCCTCGTCATCTCAGGGGCTTTGCCCTGGTGACAAAGTATGGCATAGGGTTGGGAGATACATTCCCCCTGCTGTCTATACCACTCTGTCCCCAAGGATCAGAAGCTTACGAGGATGCTGAGACAACAGATACTGGCGCTCTCTTGATAGGCAGCTTTACAGCTAGGCTAAGCAGTACGTCTCCAAGCCCTGTCGTCAGCAGCAGATGCGAACAGGTGGGACCAGAGCAGGACAGGAAGAATGGAATGAATGTCACAGGAGACCTACAGCTGAAAGACTTTTGAGGCCCCTATGAGGGGATACCAGAAGCCACTGGGTTACAAACTAGGGAGAAGGAATTGAAGTCCTCCCATTTGGATCGGGGTTATCAATCAATATTTTGGTTATTCTGACAGTTCAATTACTTTGCTATTCTTGATTCACTTTGTTTGTTTTATTTCTATGGCATGCCCATGAATCACAAACCCTGCTTTGCAAACTCTTTTGGTTGCAAGAACCAGAGATTCACCCAGGAGTCATCTCTGGGCATGAGAGAACTCATCACTGGAGGGCCCAACACACCTACCGTGATGATGAGGATAGTTCTACTAGGCTGGGAAAGCAAATGGGTCAACCTCACAAGGTGTCCATGTTGGCTAAATCGAATGGGGTGGCCCAGCCTAGGTGGGATGAATACTTCAACTAGGCCCACCCAGTGGGTCTGCTGTGTAGTGGATACAGTGAGCACTGTATTTTCTGGTGAATAAAACATAGAATCCAAAGAAGATGCTGAGAGATCACCAGCCTAATAGGAAATTGCTCCACCCAAGAGCGGGATTGTCAATAATGAGGAATGTAGAGGCAAGACACTACGGGCCTTAACCTCAACCTGGCCTGAAACACCGAGTCCAGTGTTAAAAGGTAAACTGAGGTATATTTAAACATGTTAAGAGTTTATTTGAGCATACATCAACTGGAATTGTCACCAAACCAGAAGTGGTTGCGAATGCTTCGCTGACAGGAGCTGGGGAGAGGCTTTTAGGGAGAAAAGCGAAGCAAGCATAAATCTGTCCCAGATCACATGCAACTCTAAGTCCATTGGTCCTCTGCTTATTATTAAAAACCAATAAGTTAATGGCCTACTATACATTATCAGATGTTGAACAACAATAATGACAACTTCAGTTACTAGGTGTGCAGGGCAACATGACAGATACATGGATTTCTTCAACAGCAAGCCAACTTCCATCTTCTGGCAAAAGGGACCCAAAAAAGGAAACACTTGTGAAGACCCACCTATGGGTCAGTCCTAGTTAACAGCATGGACTTGGGATACAACAATCAAGTTTAAAAAATAAAAAGGCAGCTTGCAATGTCATTACTTCGGAAGAATCTTTAAACACAGGATTGTCCACTGTAGTAACATGCCAGGTGCCACACTGCTTTCTGAAGACAGTCATTGCTCACATTGAATAAATAACCAACCGCTAGGAGGTTGGTCATTCCTAGAACTCAGAAAGCCTGTTAAGCTCTTAAAGCATGAAAGCATTTTTACTTTCTATAGCCATCTCCACATTTGGAAAAAGAGCAAAATTTTGCCCTTGGCCAGGTAGCTCAGTTGGTTAGAGCATCACCCAGTATGCTAACGTTGCAGTTTTGGCAAATCGGATGTTTCTCTACCTACCTACCTACCTACCTATCTCTCCTTTTCTCTTTCTAAAAATCAATAATTTCTTTAAATGAGCATCATTTTCTTCTCTCAAAAGATTGCTAGAAAAAATCTTGAGGGAGTTGGGAAGTGAGTAGAGGGTATGATAATAATGGAAATATTCTTTAAAACAAATCTTGCTAGCCAGATATCTTATTCTCTGATCCTTTTGTAGCTTTTTAAGAGCTCCTATCACACAGTATTTAAGACCGTGCTCAAAGAACAGGCTGCTCACAGTGAACTGGAAGAGGATACTGACATTCCCCTGACTGGCCAACTGGAAAGTGAAACCAGAAGGAAACTGAGAATTCTGTAAGTGGCTGGAGAGATGAGGTGTTGGTCAGTGGGTGTAGGTAGGTTAGAGGTAGCAGTAGGGCAATGTAAATTGGGCCACCAGAGGAAAGAGCAAGGCCAGTGCCAGAAGGTCCCCTGAGTCAAAAAGCAAGCACAAGACAGGCACAAGGGCAAGGAAATTGACAAGAGTGGGAGATCCAGGATAGGATCAAAGATACGCAATGACAAAGGTTGGAAATCCAGGGCAAGAAAGTCTTGAAGAGACTATGAACTTGTACAAAAGTCTGGGGAGCAAGGCTCAGGACTCTGGGCCTTTTAAGAGAGGGGAGTCAGGGAATGGAGATCCCAGGCATCTGCCCAAGAAATTCCCTGGCCTTATCCTGGGCTAAGCCAATGCTCTTTCCTGCTTCCTGGAGAGGGAAAGCCATGAGGTTCACAGACCTGGGAGCAATGGCCAGACCCTCTATTCAGAGTGGAGAATGACGAAGATGTGGCTGGCACCCAGCCTTTCTAGTTGGCATGACCCCAGGCACAAAGTGTTCCAGATCCCCACTTGTACATCCACCCGGTGCTGCATTTCCACTCATCCAGCTGTCAAACACCTTGGTGAGCAAGTTGTTCTTAGGCCCTCCCATGAGTCTATCACAGACTCTCTGGCAGTGGCGCCAAGGAGCAGGCTGTGAGAGATGGGGTGTCCTGTATAATCTCCTTCATGAATCAAAGCTTTTACAAAAGTCACGAAGAGAGATTGCCAGCAACTTCAGCTTTGGACTCATAGGGTCTTGGGGCCAGAGACCTCTGAGGTTTCTCTAGGAAAGGGGAAAGCAAACATCCAAGCTTTCAGATCCTTATACAACTGTACAAACAAAGGCCAGAAAACATCCCAAAAGTTATTCTACCTCATATATGACATTCCACCCCCATTCCTTCCCATTTAAGCTTATTACCGGTGCTCATTCTAATCTGATTGCACTCAACAAATATTTCCTGAGCACCTACTCTGTGCTGATCTGTGTGTTGATCTTTACAGTTGTGTGTGCCCGAGAGCCGCTGCCATTGAGGAGCTACCTAGTAAGATTCCACTAGTTTGCAAAAGTGGACAAAGAAGGGCATTGGGTGCCTCTATCTGGACCCTTCACTGGAGTTTTAACTCTTGCATATACTAGTATTTGGCATCCGCTCTTGGCCTGTGGAATAGGTCTCACCCCACCCACTCCTCGGTCCTCACCCTCTCACAGGTAATAGTAGGCTAGATAACTGCTTCCATTCCATTCAAAGTGCTAGCAAATAAAATGAAAACATTTTGTATACATGGCCCATGAAGAACTCATTCTCAAGTTCCATTACTGCTTTTAAAGCACAAGTAGTAAACCTTAGCTTTCTGCCAAGTGAATTCATTCAGCCCTTCCCAGTAATTTGTTTCCTGGGTTGAATTATCATGCACTCTTTAAGGAATCTTAACTGAAAACTTAAAATCTGTCGTGTCCAAGGCCTTCTTTCAAATCTAATTAAGCTGGGATGCTCCCTCCTGACACATTCCCTTTCAAGAATATTCTGATCTGAGAACCAGGAAACACAGCTACTCCTGGAGGTCCCTTTAGTTGGGAGGACAACAGCCCAAGCCATTGACATGCCAGGATGACTTGCTTTGTGTATTGACATGAGAGGGCCTTAGGGCTTGAGTATTTGGAAAAGCTGTGCCTTGGTGTGGCTTTCATGGTGAGTCATTTTGAATGGGATTACTGAAAATCTTCCTGCTAAATGCAAAGGGGTTTCCCATGGCACAAACAATGCTGTTTTTCCACGCTGTTTCTAAATGTCACCTTCACTGGGATATGCACAAGGAAGGCATAGAAAAATCAAGCTTAACTCATAGAGCCAGTCTGGCATTTCTGCCTTGTTCCTGCCCTCAAGTTGGTCCTCACTAAATTTATTTTAAATGTTTGGGGGTCAGCCCAGGTGCCCAGGTTGAAGGCCAATTAGAGGCAAGGAAAGAAGCACCAAGCCCATGCCATGTGCTGTTCCTTTATTCCTCAGCTCTGATTGGAAGAATAGCTGGGTCTGAAAGAGCTGTCAGCCCAACATTCCACCTATGAAAAGGACTTGGAAAGTTCTAGCACTGGCTACACTGTGTAGCGTGACATATAAACAGGAATTTAGTCTCGGTTTTTAAAGATAACTCACATTCCTTTCAGGTTGAAGACAAACATTGAAAAGTACAAGGAAGTAATTCACTGGATTATGGAGAAACGTGGAAGTAAGGACTTCTCTACCATTTTCCATCCGTGACTGGCTCTCCTGTGTGCATTTCACTGCCTCTCACCTTCTGCCATGTCCACAAAGGAGGCAGAAGTGCTCAGTCCCTCATTTGAGCACCTACTGGTCTATTGAGGTCCTAGCTGCCAGGGATAAAATATGGAGAAAGATGGACACAGTCTGGGATCTCAACAGGATTACGTTTTGGTGGTGGGGTGCAGGTTGGTGGGGGTGGTGAAAATAGACAAGCAAACAGGAAATTCACATATAGTATGGTTAAGGGATATGGTGGGAAGGGGATGCTATGAGACCACACAGAAATAGATAATTCCTAGATCTGGGGAGGTCCAATAAGTCATTATTAACATAAACTTTGGGCAAGAAATAGCCCTTTTACCATATACTGAAGGCATTTGTGGTCCAGCTTTTAAGATTTGCCAATCATGGAGCTTGCCAGTTTTTGGAGTCTAATCATGGAAAGCTTGGGCCAAGAGCTTAAGCTTCAAGGCTACCTAATTTAGAAACTCAAAACCACCATATGGAATATCTTTCAAATTACCAGATCCAACTAACATAGAAATGGCAATGATAACAATGGCAAACATAAGGAATCAAGCATAGTATTTTTCTCACTGAGCCAGGACACAGCCTCACATTCTCTCTCAAGGAAGTGCTTCCATTCCCAAATACCAATTTAGCCCCTGTCCTAACTCGTACAAAATAATCACTATGGGCTAGGTACTTTCACGTATGTTATCTGTTCAAATTAATTTTCATAACCATGTGAAGTAGCATAAAGAAAGTAAAGCTCAGAGAGTCATTGGGTGAACATGAGCCACACTCATGTCCAAAAGCTCTCAGGCCATATCCAAGGCTCATCCTTTTGGCATGTTCAATGTGTCTAGAGAAGAAAAGTGGGGGCCTTCTAAGTCTAGGTTTCATGTTCTCAGTGGAGTTACCAAACCCTGGCATGGGAAATCTGGGGCAGGGAGAAGAAGGAATTGCCACCTTCAGTCTCTATAGTGGAAGGGCCCTGTCTCCCACCAAACTTACACAATGGGTTAGCCCCAAGCAGGGCAGGTTTAATATGCAAGTCTTGTATTAGTCAGTAGTAAGACAATTCGATCTCCATATCCAAAGATTGAATTGTGTAAAGAGGCCTTACCTGTGTCAGTCGCGTATTCAGTCCAGATGGTCTCACAACACATTATTCTCTCCAGGCTGGATCCTTGAGATGCAGCTCCAGCTGTGGAAATGGTGGGCAGAGATCTCATTCTAAGGACAGGAGATTGGGGTGAGGAGCCTCTGATAGTCCAGGTCCAGCTCCCAGGTGAATCAGCAGTAACAGCCTCCCAGTGACCTCCTCCAACACTGTGTTGATGACAAGGGATAACTAAGCTCTCTTAACCAACCACTCCTAACCTAGTTGTGGAGGTACCAAGGTGCCCCTTCCAATGAAGAGCTTCCCAGCTGATAGGGTGCTAGAAGCCCCTCCCCACTGCTCAGGCCACTGTTGTGCCCACTGATTGTCAGACATCCCCCCAGAGTCATTTGGAGCAGGGATTGTTCTTCAACTGTCCTTACTAGTTTAGTTCCATTTTTTTCAGTTGGAAAAAAAAAATGGACAAAAATGAAAATAAAAAGAAACTTCTTGTTGCTAAGAAAACTAATGCTTTAAGAGTTTAAATTGTGCTTTGAATGCTTTAAGAGGACCCAATAAAAAATAGCTTTTAAAAAAAAAAAGTGCTTGGAACTATATACGCACCATATCTAAAAGATTGGAGAATATATAGAAATGTTTTTAAAACTCTATAATTCTATGCTCAGACTATTTAGAATTTTCCAAAATTGAAAATTAGACATAATAAATTATGAATGTGGTTTGAGCAAAAATGATCACAGAATCCATCATCAGACCCACACACCAAGAAAAGACCTTGCCCTACATTAGAGTGTTAATATAGATTTATGTTTTAAGTTCAAATAATATGTTTAAGGTATGTTTTCTTTTGTAATGACTCCCCACTTTCGCCTATTTTAATTAATTGAGTTAGCAGCCACGCTTGTTATTGTCTTGGGGCTAGTGTGTCACCCCTCACATCCCAAGTCTGGACTGGGTAGTTTTCACATGGTATCTGGCATCTAGCACTGGGCTGGCATATTTCAGGCCTTTGATAAACAGGTGTTAAATGAATAAGTAAATAAATAATAGTTTGAAATTCAACCCAGCTCTCTCTTCTTGCTCTTTCCTGGCAGCTTTCCTTAGTTGGGAGAATATGGCCCATGTCCCAAACCCCCAAATTCTCTTGAGAAATAGATCTATGTTTTCTTTCTCTTTTCTACCAAAGCCATATTCAGAGATTCAGATGTGGTTACTCACACATTTAATTTATTGAGCCACACTGAGAAGCCCACGACAGAAATAAAGAAACCTCATCGTATTCGTCGTAAAAAGAAATTAGATACAGAAATAGATACAGAGTGGATGAAGAGCAGCACTGAGGTAAGTGTGGCAGTGGTATTTTTATTTTGTGCAGGTTTTGAGGCTCAGGTGGGATACTCAGACCACCCAGGAGCTGTCAAAGCCAATACACAATGTGAATACAAGAAAAATGTGTTCAATATATGGAGGCACATCGTGGGTTATCACAAATTGACCAGGACTTTTACTAGGACTCACTGAGGCTCTTCTCCCTAAAGGGCCTATATTTGGCAGTTAGGTGAGGTTAAGGGAGGGGTAAAGAAAATATATGTTATAATATATAGGTCCTTCTCCTAATAAATGTTAAACCCATGTTAAAAAGTAATTACATAGTGAATGGATAAATAAACTGTGGTACATCCAAACAATGGAATATTATTCAGTGATAAAAGAAATGAACTATCAAGCCACAGAAAGACATGGAGGAGCCCTAAATTCATATTACTGTGTTAAGAAAGCCAATTTGAAAAGACTACATACTGTATAATTTCAACTACATACCGTATAATTTTATCTTTGAACATGGTGGGGATTAGGGGCACCAATGTGCTGTGCATTTGAAAATCAAGTATAACTTAAGTCAGCCCTCTGCATACATGACTCCCAACTGAAAATCAAAAATACAGCTGACCATTGAACAACCTGAGTTTGTACTGCACGGGTCTACTTATATATAGATCAGTGGGCCTGCACAGTTCAAAGCCATGTTGTTCAAGGGTCAACTGTATGACATCTGGAAAAGGCACAACTATGGGGACAATAAAAAGGTCAGTGGTTGCCAGGGGCTAGGGAGGAGACAGGAATGAACAGGTGCAGCACAGAGGAATTTTAGGGCATGAAAATACTCTGTATGATACTATAAGTGAATGCATGTCATTAGACATTTGTCTAAATCCATAGAAGGTACAACACCAAGAGTAAACCCCAATGTAAACTACAGACTTTGCATGATAATGATGTATTGATGTAGGTTCATTGACTATATGAATATACACTAAGGTGCAGGATGGTAACAGTGGTGGAGTGTGTGTGTGTGTGTGTGTGTGTGTGTGTGTGTGAGATAGGGCAGGAGATATAGAGAATCTCTGTGCTTTCTGCTCAGTTTTGCTGTGATCTGCTCTAAAAATAAAGCCTTTTTTTAAAAAAATCAATCACATACTAATATTTATGAAGATGGATACTATGAAGTTATAAGTGAAAACTAGTCTCAAAATATTGGTCATTTAGAGTGAATTAATAATCAGGTCTGAAGCTCAAGAAGGAGACATTGATGTGGGAATTAGAAAGATGTGATAGACTTATGTCTTCCGTAAATATCTATTGAGAATCTACTATGTCAGGCCCTCTTCTGGGTGCTGGAGATACAGGGTTAAACAACACAACACCCTTGTGCCCACAGAACTTCTGTTTCAGGTGAGGAGACAGCCAATATAAAAAAATACTATTCAGTGTATGCCAGGTATAGCACTGAATAGTGCTATGGGGGAGCAGCATAAGGGGCTCTTGAGTTGTTGAGCTGAGAGAGGAGTTGCTCTAAAACTTGCAGGGCAATCTCAGAAATGCCCTTTGAGCCTAGGCATGCATGAAATGAGGGAGTGAGTATGTGAATACTGGGTGGAAGGGCATGCTAACCAGAGCAAGCAAGGACAGCTGCGAGAGGAATAGGGAATGAGCCTCAGTGCCCAGATCAGGTAGAGCCATGTGGGCACAGCAAGACTCTGGATTTTATCCTGGAATGAGGTGAAACATTGGAAAGTCTAGAGCAGGAGACAAACATCACCTGGCTTAGTCTCTAGAAGAATCTTTCTGGCTGTTGTGTGGAAAATACATTTAAGGGACAAGAATAAAAGCAGGAAGTCCAGTTGGGAGGCAGGGCATAGACTCAGGTGAGAGGTGATGGGCATCTCTACTAAGTGGTGGCAGTAAAGGTGGTGAAAGTAGTCTGATTTGGGATATTTTTTGAAGGGGGAACCAGGAATTGGTTTCCTGTTGAATTGGAAGTGGGGTGTGAGAGAGGAAAAAGACAAAGAATGAATCTAAGAATTCTGGCATGGGCAACTCAGTAAATGTTATTTTATCATTTAATAAATTGGAGAACACAAGGAAACTAACAGAAACTAACATTTACATAACACCATGCAGGTTACAAAGCACTTCCACATATAATGTACATGTAGCTTTTCCCAACAATTCCTGTGTGATGTGTGCTATTATTATCCTCACTTTACAGTTGAAGAAAGTGAGGCCCAGAAGAACATACATGACACTCTCAGGACACTGAGCCCGTGTTGGCCAAGGCAATGCTCATTCGCTGCTGAAACATATGATTCCCAAAGCTAAGTGGCTTAACAACCAGATGCAAGGTTCTTGCTCATGTCACATCTCATCTGAGTCCCACAGCTCTCTGAGCATTCCTCCTAGAGACTGGCTCTGAGGGATCTGGGTCCTTTTATCATGGGTCTCCACCACACTGGAGTTCTTTGTGTCCAGCATGAACAGGAAGTGAGCCAAGATCCAGGCTTAAATTTCATTAACCACAATGAGTCACATGATCTCGCCTAGATGCAAGAAGGCTGGGAAATGTACTCCTGCTGTGTGTCCAGCAGAAAATGAAAACACTTTTCACTAAGAGGCAAAACAATCAAACATCTTCGAGTAATGAGGGTAAAAATGGAAGAGCTAGAAACGGATACTGTCAGCCCAGGTGTGGACACTCCTGGCCTCCCTTCATCTCTTGGGCCTGCATGTAGAAAGGAAGTCAGTGGGACCAGTCAGAACCTCTACAGACAGAAATTAAGGGAAAGCAGGGGACTGTTCAGGTTGGAAGCCCCAAGAGAAGCCTTCAGTTTTCACATCTCCCTGGCCTCACCTCCAATCCATTAATGAAACCTTCCTTGGTGTCTTGCTCCAACCAGGCTAGTGAACTCCTCCCCTGTCCTGCCTCGGACCTTTTGGTACTGTAGTGTCTGTCCCTCAAGTAAACTTAATTGTGCTCCCTGTAGCCAAGAGGAAGGTTCTCACCCAGATCTCTAAGCAGAGGTTCCTTCCTAATTTATCATTCACATCAGACTGCCCGAAAAGGCTATGAGTAGTGGGACATCTGGTTGTTTTTGTTTTTACAAATGGCAGTAAGTTTGGAGTAAGCTGCTGAGTCAGGCAGAGCACTGCTTGTGTGTGCACACGGCCAGCCCGGAGCCAGTGGTTCCACAGCGGTCAGGGAGAGTTCACGGACAGAGAGCAGCAGAGCAAGCTCACGGACAGCAGCTGCCTCACAGCACAGGGCCTGCCTGTGAGGCAGCGCTTTTTCTCTAGAAGAATTAAAGGAAGGTCCAGAGATGTAGTATCTTACCTTTTAACTCTTAGTCTCATACTCTGTTCCCAATAAAATAGTGATGGGATTCAGGCTTTTAGATATGCCACTTATTATACAGTTATGCACTGTACAGCAATGCAACATGTTTGTGGTAAACAGCCAGTCATATAAAAGCACAGCGCATTCAGTAATGGTAGTAGACTACACCATCTATGGCTGTGTGTGCGCTCTGAGATGTTTCCACAATGATGCAATTGCCAAGAGATGCTATTTCTCAGAACGTGTGCCTGTCGTTAAGTGACACATGATGATGATCTCCTAGTGAGAGAAAAATGGAAGAACTTTACCTCTGTGTCAGAGATTTTGCTTTTCCCATGGGGTCCTCACCGTTAGGGAAGTGTCATTATATGACAAGTGAGTTTGACAAGCAAAAAGCATCTTGAGAAATCTGGCTTTCAGATGGCTTTTGAAAATAAGGCCTAAAATACAAATATTCTCTTCCATGAACAAGGTCTAGAACAGGGGTGGGCAAACTTTTTGACTCAAGGGCCACAATGGGTTCTTAAACTGGACCAGAGGGCCGGAGCAAAAGCATGGATGGAGTGTTTGTGTGAACTAATATAAATTCAAAGTAAACATCATTACCTAAAAGGGTACGGTCTTTTTTTTCAATAGTTTTATTCATTTCAAACGGGCCGGATTCGGCCCGCGGGCTGTAGTTTGCCCATGGCTGATCTAGAAGCTTTTTACAGGCCATCAGCAGCAAACCAACCACAGATATTCTTACAAGGCACTTTTTTAGGTTAAAAAAAAGAAGGAGAAGAAGAGCATTAATTTGTAAACTAAATATGAGCGGTGGCTGAGAGCTTAATGGTCAGAGGCAGCCTGTTTGCACTAACGAGCCTGCAGGTTAACAGGAAGGGCTCTCCTCTCACTGGTAACTTTGTGTAAGTCTTTAGCCTCTCTTAAATGGGGACAATGCT